TTTTGCTATGACTATAAATAATATTTGGGTTCTTGCTACAAGAGCCTGTGTTTATGCATGCAAAAGCAAAGTTGTATTTAAACAACAATCAACCTTGTAAATTTGATTTTTAAAATGGTCGAATTATCGAAAGTGTCGAATTATCGAAAGTGTCGAATTATCGAGTGTCGAATTACAGTTTGTTTATGTATTTTTAATAAGGTCCTCTTATCTTATCTGCAATATAGTTGTATTTTTCGAAATTTTATTTTCTAATTTGTTAATTTTTTCTTTTTTTTTTTCACTCGAATAATATTTATTTAAATCTAATAATTTTTATTTAATGCAATTTAATTAATAATTTATTTAATCCAATGTCTATAGTTTCTTCCCTGAAATTGCTTACCAAACATGAGTCAGTGTTTCCACAGTGTTAACAGTTGGAGTGTTAGAATGCGGAGAAGCAAAATAACTCCCTACTGAATTTCTCAATAGTCTCACTCCCAGAGGAATGCATCCACACCAGTTAACCTCTAGGTTGGTACTATTGTTATGCTTCTGAGAAGTTTTAATCCTAAGCAGGGTCTTTGAAAATGGTACACGTATGGTGATACAGTGCATGTGCTCTCATGTCCTTAAAGTAGTGTAGTTCTGTTGTTTGCAATTTCATTTTCTGATTTGTTAAAATTTTTCTTCTATAGTTTCTCACCTGCGGGTCCTTCGGGTAAACCCGGGGCGTTGCCCGGGTCACTCGGCTAGTATTTACATATTGCTATAAAGGATATAAAGTTTGTATATTAGCAAAGAAAGAGAAACGTTCTCAAAAGTAAACGACAGCCAACATACCTCAGGTACCAGCCCCATATTCCAAAAATCACTTTATTAGGTACCGCTCAACAAGAACAACCTAGTTTATGATAATTAAAACAGTGTATAATATGTGAAGGTTATTCACATATTAAACAAAAGTTTAACAAGCGGGATTCAATCCTGGTTCATGACTGTTGGGAATCGAGGGTGCTACCTACTCGTCCACCGACTTTTTTTTTATCTAGCGCCATATCAAGTCTGTCCCTATATAAGTTTTACAAAGAACACAGTAAGTAGGAACTCCTCCACTACACGATGGTGATTGTGAGGATATCGTTGCAATGAGAGAGGAGAATCTGACTGGTGTCTTGATAAATCCTTTGTGTAAGCCGGCAATGAGAGAGGAGACTGGTGTCTTAATAAAGTCTTTGTGTATGCGTGATATAAAACAAAAATAAATATTTAAAAAAAATCAATCAGACAATAAAATGAATAGACACGCTCTGACCATTTAATTCAGCATTTTAAAATAACAAAACGGCCATCTATCAGAATAAAAATGAACTAAACGTTAATTTCGATGTATTCCAGGAATATTATTCAACAAATTTTCGTTTGAAATCAAGAAAAGTCAACGATATAAGCATTTCAGGCTGTTTATCTTCGTCATTAATGGGATGCAAGCTGAACCTGAAGGAGATTGATATATAGCTAGCAATAAATATGTATATATATGTTTCTATGAAAATGTTAATTTGCAAGACGCAGGTTATCATCATCCCTTTTTGATTTGTTTTTGTCACTTTGGCTGTTCGCAAAAAAACAACAAAAACTGTATCAGACATTATAAAGACAATAAAGATTTTCTGATAATAAAAGTGTACAAAGATGTTGTAGAGATATGTTGACCAAACAAACAAAAAATCGATAAAATTGATGATTTAAATGAAAGCTTAGCAACAGTCAGTAGGTACAAACAATCATTCCAAGATGGACGCTGACCATTGCAGGAAAGCTGGGAGGAAGATGCTGACTTACATCACCCAGTACCTAGATACCGTGGGTAAACGTAGAGTCACACCTGAAGTTGAACCTGGTTATCTTGCTCGTAAACTTCCACGTTCAGCTCCCGAAGAACCTTGCAGCATTGATGAAATCCTTAAAGATGTTGAAGAATACATAATGCCTGGAATTACTCATTGGGCTCATCCATATTTCTATGCGTATTTCCCAACAGGTCATTCCTATCCATCTATTATGTCTTCAATGGTTATGGATGGATTAGGTATTGTAGCTTCTTCCTGGTTAACAAATCCTGCAAGTACCGAATTGGAAATGACTGTCATGGAATGGTATGCCAAGTTTCTTGGTCTTCCTGAAAGTTTCTCACATAAAAATGGCGGCGGTGGAGTTATCCAATCAACTGCTTGTGAATCAACTCTTTTCACGATGGTTGCTGCTCGTTATAATAAATTAATGGCATTAAAGAATAATCATCCTTTTTTGGAAGAGGGTTTGCTCATTTCACGTCTGATGTGCTACTGTTCGAAGGAAACCCATTCCAGTATTGAAAAAGCTGCAATGATGGCGTTAGTCAAAGTCAGGATTCTGGAAGCCAACGATAGATTTCAACTTACTGGCGAAATTTTGCAGAAAGCTGTTGATGCTGATAAAAAAATGGGTTTAATTCCTTTTTTCGTTGTTGCAACTATTGGTACAACATCAAGTTGTGCTTATGATGTTGTTCCTGAAATTGGATATGTCTGTTCGAAAGAAAATATATGGTTGCATATTGATGGGGCATATGCTCTTCCTGCATTATCTCTTCATGAATTCAATTATTTACATGATGGTTTGGATTATGCAAATTCGATCGTAACAAACCCACATAAATGGTTATTAGCAACATGTGATATAGCTTGTTTATGGATAAAAGATCGTAAGAAATATACATCAGCATTTCAAATTGAAAGACCTTACTTGATGACAGAGGCATCAGAAACTATCAACGATTATCATGAATGGGGAATGAGTTTTACACGAAAAGCAAGAGCACTTAAATTATGGTTTATTTTCCGTCTTCATGGAACAGACAAGATTCAAGAATATCTTCGGCATGATATAAAACTTGCTCATTATTTTAAATGTAAAGTTTTGGAAGATGATCGATTTGAAATTTGCAATGATGTCTATTTCGGATTGGTTTGTTTCCGTTTGAAAACTGTTACAAATGAAGTTAACGAAACTTTTCTGGATGCTTTAAATGCTTCAGGAAAAATCCATTTGGTACCTACTCATTTAAAGGAAAAATTTGTTCTTCGTTGGGTTACCTGCAATCCATTCCTGAAAGAAGAAATTGTTGATAAATGTTGGGCACTTATTAAAGATATTGCGACGAATGTTCTGGACGCGACGGCCAAGCTGAAAGCGCTGGAAAAGATGGAAAGCCTGGATTATACCCCTGATGATGAGATTGATGAAGAACAAACACTCATCATGTCTACAGAGAGCATTCGAAGTGAAGTTGATGACCTCAGTGCCATTATGAAAGTAAGAAGAAATTTCTTTACAAGAATGACATCAATAAGTGGCAATCAGAGTATTAAAGATGCTGAAGAAGAAAATGAAGATTTAGAAGAACTCAGTATTGCTAAGATCAGCCCAGAAGCACGGTCTGATTATAATTCCGATCGTATGTAATGTGAGAATTAAATAGTTTCCAATTCACTTCGTGTTTTATCTCCATCTTTCTTAAAGAAACAAAAAATACTTATTACACAAGTTTATAGAAGCACGGGTCGCCTCTCCCGTCAAAATAAACGTCAAAAACTGACGCCATCTATTGACCGTCGCCGCAACTAGCGGCCTCGGGTCGGTGACAAAGCCACAACACCAGCTTTGGCAAACTGAAAAGCGTCCACCTAGAGACTTTCCCAAAGCTGGTGTTGTGGCTTTGTCACCTACCCGAGACCGCTAGTTTGCGGCGACGGTCAATAGATGGCGTCAGTTTTTGACGTTTATTTTGACGGGAGAGGCGTCCTATGCTTCTATGGATCAATTTCCTCCCGGCAAATTTTCCATCTACACAAGTTTATATTTGTGATTTTTGAGGAAGAACATTACTGGTTGTACAGTAACTCTTTAATTTTAAAAAAAGAATCATGCGCGTATAAAATAGTTTCAATTTACCATAACAGATGACGCGCTAATTCACATATGTGTTTGTTCGGTAGAATTCGATGGTTCAATGTAATTCACTATTTAAATTCTAGGTATAGTTGGCGTCTTCCTTATGAATACAGCGAACCCCAGAATATAAACAATCATTCTTTAGATACTGATCTTACAAGCACACACGGCAGTCTGTATATGAAAAAGTGAAAGTTGTATAAGCTTATGATTTTGCTTTGTTTTAAAAATGAATCGATGTTGGTTCCATATGTTTGAATTGAATATTACACCTTAGTTCTATATATATATTATTGCTTAAAAAGGAACACAACAACAAAACAAAAAGAAACTACAATTACAAAATGATTTGATAACTAAGAAAAAAAAAACAATAATAATAATAAAAATGATGATGATAAAGATTGAATATGTCTGCCAGAAAAATGCTTCTATGAATTATACACACATGGCAGTCTGCACCACGCTGACAAGGGCCAACAGCCCGAAACGCGGGCATGATCGACTTTTCTTGATTTATCAAGAAATTGGGTTGGTTAAATATCACGGAACAAGTTAAATAAACGTTTAGTTTATTTTTGTTCCACTAGATGGCGCTCTGCCATCTAGAAAAGCTTATGTGAGCCTGGTCAGGATATGCTTTTTTTTTTTGTTTTTAATATGACACACACACTTTATTTATTTATTTATTCCGTCTCAGTTTATAGGTGTCGAGTTACCTTGTCCTGCCTATTTACATATGGCTAGTTTGTGGAGTAGAGGTTCCCCCAAAACAAAAGGATCTATAATACAATATAATTCGACTTATGATTGTAGAACGCCATTTGAAAATTATCCCGCATGTGTTTCTTTTGAACGAAAAATCGAAATTTTATTTTAAGGAGAAATAACGATTATTTCTAACCTTAGGGATGAAGTATGAAAGGATGAATTGTGAAGAATAATGATAAACGGAAAAATAAAAGTGTCCAGGGATGGGATTTATTTTTCCGTTCACACACACACATCATTACCTAGGCCTAGGTTAGCCTAGTGGACATGGCATCTGCCTGGTAAGCGGAACACTGTGAGTTCGATTCCCCACACACATCATTACTCTTCACAATTAATCATTTCATACTTTATCCCTAAGGTTAGAAATAATCGTTATTTCTCCTTAAAATAAATTTCGATTTTTCGTTCAAAAGAAACACATGCGGGATAATTTTCAAAATTTTCAATGAGTAGGAAAAGTTGAAAGAAGAGAAACTTGACTCTCTGATAAAAAAAAGGAGGTCAGTAAATGACATTGACCTACTATTTCATCAATTGTATTCAGTGACCAAGGTATCGATTTTTCGATTTTTGACCGTAGGCTATTATATGACTTATTTGAGTTTCTAGGTGTGAAGAAAGTGTTTGAATTCTACACAGAGTAACAATGGCTATAGATGAGCTCGTGTTTGAAAAGGAACTTGTATGTATATAATAATTAACGTTTTTGCTGTTTTCACATAAAACATATACCGAGATTTGTTTTGCATAATTTCTATTAATAATAAATAATATGTAAAGTTAAATTGGTTACGGATTCAACCTTCTTACTTACTTTAATTACATAACATAGAAACCTCTGGGAGGGTTCTTGTCTGATATGTGTGAATCAGGTCCTTCCCAATATCTTTTTGTTTCACTATCTTCAGTAATTGTAAGAAGTTTTTCTTATATGCAAATTAAGAAAACACATTTAGGACAATTTAGAACATCTTCTGCAATAGAGTCCATTGCGAAGTAAATAGATGAACGTAACGAATCAGACATAAAGGCAAAAGTGGTCTGGTGGATTACATTCATGGACAAAATTTAAGGAAATTGTAGCTTTTAGCATATATATTGGGATTCAGACAATTACTCTGAAAGATACACTCATGGAAAAAATTTAAGGAAAATGTACCTTTTAGCATGTATATCGGGATTCAGACAATAACTCTGAAAGATACACTCATGGACAAAAACTTAAGGAAATTATAGCTTTTTTCATGTATATCGGGATTCAGACAATAACTCTGAAAGATACACTCATGGACAAAACTTAAGGAAGTTGTACCTTTCAGCATGATATTCAGACAATAACTCTGAAAGATATTACTGTGACCTTTATTGAAGACACACGAGATAACCAAGTGTGAACAAAATTGCCTCTGTCTCCTTCAAAAAATAGACGACGGGCCATATCAAAGAATTTCCACATCAAATTTTGTCTATGAGTGTATATATAGATACATGTGAACCGCTTTTCATATATTTACTTTGCGACATTTCGATTGACAGTGTCACCTTCCTCAGGGGAAGGAATTCTTGATTTCTAGTTACTCTCTATTTAGGAAACTGGTATAAAGAACACATTCCCATAAGAAATATAACAGGAAGTAAACCAAACGTCGGGAAATTAATAAACGAAAAGCAGTTGATTTAGTCTTTTTTGTATCCCTAGTACACGTGGTACAGACCATGATAATCATGGTGGGTAGAAATTGACGACTCCTTTTACTGTAAGTACACCACATGTCTACACATGTTGAAAGCTGTTCGACTTTTGTACTTACAAGTATGCCAGAGCTTCCCACCGTTTGTTTACTTGTACTCTCGGTTGAGAAGGTTGACTATGGTTAATTTTTTAATTTTATTTTATCGAGGTGTGTACACATATATAGTTCTCTTTTGTTGTGACAAATTATTCTATATACAGTTACGAGCGTCATTCCTCATCTCCTAATCAACAATCAGTCATCAGTTTTCATCTCTGTCACCGTTTGCTTTTTTTTTTTTGGAATGGCGCCCTCCTATTGGTTGGCTACGGTCACGCCACCTTTGCCCCCCCACTCGCCTTTTCGTTTATGTAATTATTGTGTTGGAGCGGGTCGCTCCTTAAATAAATGCATATATTAGTTAATAACCAAATGGAATCCTCTCTTTCTTTTTCCCTGTAAGAGACGCCTACGGAAGCCAACAGTACATAGACAGATAAAGCACATAGGCTATAGTTATTAACTAACATATGCATTTATTTAAGGCGCCAATTTATAATTGTAACAAATAGTATTTGAATCAAAACATTCAATCGGGTAAAACACGGGCGTTGCCCGGGTCATTCGGCTAGTGATAATATAATACACTGCGGCCTGTGATTGTAAAACGACACTTGAAGTTACACCGCATGAGTTTCTTTTCAATGAAAAATCAAAATTTATTTCAAGGTGAAATATTGACTATTTCTAACCTTTTTGAATGAGGTATGAAAGACTGATTTATGAAGAGTAATGATAAACGGAAAAATAAAAGTGTCCAGGGATGGGAATCGAACCCACAATGTTCCGCTTACCGGGCAGATGCCATGTCCACTAGGCTACCCTGGACGTATTTTTCCATTCGTAAATGATACATAAGGTAATTATGATAATGTGACAAAAATAGTACAAATGTCACATTGTATTGGAATAAAGTTCATAAATTAATAAAAAGGCATCTACTTCTTGATTAATCAAGAATGGGTATTTGGGGCCAATTCTGGAATAATTAAAAATCAACACGAATAGTTGTTATTTATTCCGATAGATGGCGTAAGCCATCAGAAACTTTCAGTTGCACGATAAGGAGATGCCATTTTCTTAAATTATGATAAGTAATATTTGATGGTCAAACATTCACTGAAGGATGGAATTCCAGGGCAAAGAACAAAGTCCATTCATTCAGAGCGAGTATAACCTAAAATTTACCTATTTACATATCTCCCGTTAAAAGGAACAAAGAGAAAAGTTCCTTTCAATTCTTCTATTTACCAAGCTACATTCAGGCAGAGAATGGGAACAAAGAAGGGTTTGCTTTAAGGGTTATTGAATTAGGGCGTTATAGAGTGGTTGAAAGAAATCAAGGGGCTGTGTCCCAAACTACCACCTTGAATCCATGATGAAATGATAAATTTCTGGAGGTCCCATGGTGCAAGGGGACTCGTTAGTGGTCCATGCAACAGTTAAATTGATTGGTGATGCCATTGTTTCACGATCTTTGGTAACAAATGAAGGCAAAACTCTTTGAGGCTTATGTAATACCGGTCTATTGTATAATGGACGCTTGAATAAATTAGGATAACTTAGTAACATTGTTGGTATCAGCCTATAGAACATTTGATATTTAGATATATTTGGTGCAAACACTTTTCTAATCTTCTCTATTTTTTATCGATTATGGAGGAAAATATACTATTGGTACGTGTTCGGCGGTACAACTACTACAATAGGAAGGATACAGAGAAGATTAACATGGCCCCTGTGATACCAGTTCGGCGGTACAACTACTACAATAGGAAGGATACAGAGAAGATTAGCATGGCCCCTGTGATACCAGTTCGGTGGTACAACTACCACAATAGAAAGGTTACAGAGAAGATTAGCATGGTCCCTGTGATACCAGTTCGGTGGTACAACTACTACAATAGGAAGGATACAGAGAAGATTAGCATGGCCCCTGTGATATCAGTTCGGCGGTACAACTACTACAATAGGAAGGATACAGAGAAGATTAGCATGGTCCCTGTGATACCAGTTCGGCGGTACAACTACTACAATAGGAAGGATACAGAGAAGATTAGCATGGCCCCTCTGATACCAGTTCGGTGGTACAACTACTACAATAGGAAGGATACAGAGAAGATTAGCATGGCCCCTGAGATACCAGTTCGGTGGTACAACTACCACAATAGAAAGGTTACAGAGAAAATTAGCATGGCCCCTGTGATACCAGTTCGGCGGTACAACTACTACAATAGGAACGATACAGAGAAGATTAGCATGGTACCTGTGATACCAGTCCGGTGGTACAACTACTACAATAGGAAGGATACAGAGAAGATTAGCATGTTCCCTGTGATACCAGTTCGGCGGTACAACTACTACAATAGGAAGGATACAGAGAAGATTAGCATGGCCCCTGTGATACCAGTTCGGTGGTAGAAATAATACAATAGGAAGGATACAGAGAAGATTAGCATGGCCCCTGTGATACCAGTTCGGTGGTACAACTACTACAATAGAAAGGATACAGAGAAGATTAGCATGGCCCCTGTGATAAAAATGTTTGTTTCTGGGGGTCAAACACTGTATATTTACTTTTCAAAAATAATTAGTAACTGATCGACCAAATCTCTCTTTAGAGAGACAACAATTAAACTTTGAAGATAGATATTACACTCATAGACAAAACATAAGGAAGTTGTACCTTTTACCATGTATATCGAGATTCAGACAATAATAACTCTGAAAGATATTACAGTGACCTTTATTGAAGACACATGAGATAACCAAGTTTGAACAAAATTACCTCTGTCTGCTTCAATGAAAACAGACGACTGGCGACATCAATGACTTTCCACTTCCTTAAATTTTGTCTATGAGTGTATTTTAGCTTATGTATAGGTACTATAAATTGAGATCCATATATAGAAAATATAAAACATTCTTACTGTTTTTAGAAAAAAAAAGGATAAAATGAAAGCTTTCTTTATCGAAATGGAAAATATAAAAAATATATTTTTAAAAGAAGATATTTTGGGTATAGGGAATTTATCAACAATAGTATGTGTTAGGTTTATTATTATTATTATTATTATTGTATTTTATTAATTAATTATAATTCATTTTCATAGAATTTTATTGTTACTTGTTACTTATCATCATTTTTTGTTGTTGTTTTTCTTTTCTTCTTCTGTTTTTCTTTTGTGTTATAAATACAACTAAATCGCATTAAATCGTAGTGTAATTCTCTTTTGTTGTTTGAAATAAATCGAATTGAGTCAGCTCGTTCTTTCTAGAAGAAACTTCAAAGAAAACGTGCTAACAGTATGGTATCAATGGAGAATCAATTTATTTTCTATTCTAAAAGATCTAATGAAGTCTTTAAATTGTTAAAAAAAGGTGTATTTATCTTGAAATAGATTAATCTATCGTTTTCTCTCTCTTTGTTTATCTATTGAGATAAACAAAGAGAGAGAAAACGATAGATTAATCTATTTCAAGATAAATACACCTTTTTTTACAATACTGAAGATGGAGGTT